TCCACAATCCCTTCTCCTCCATTCTCCTCTTGGATCTTGGGCATGCACACACATGTGCCCGGCGTGAGTTTAAGCCACTGCGTCCAGGACTCGAACCGCAGTCGAATGCATGGGAGTCTAGCAAAATAGCCATTATGCCAACTGCTGGTCCCCTTCCTTACTGTTTTTAAAAAGTTGTATGTCAAGTCTTGTAGGTGAGGATACATGTGCATACTACCATCCTTGGATCTTTGCTTGTTTTTAATTTGCTGCAGGAGGCCTTCTTTGTCCACCCAAGCCAACGCTGATCCCCCATGTATTTATTCATCAGCTCCCCCTGCCTTATTTCTACAAACAGTATCCGCGGTAGTCTGAAATTAATCGTTGTTAGTTCACATCTGCAGTAGTCTCTCCTCTGTTAAAATGTGAATTATGTGAGGGCCCATAGGTTAGCAGGTAGCATAGAGATTAAGGCAGCCGGTTCCCACATGGCCAACTGTGTAGTTGAGTCCTGGACCCAGTGGATTAAAAATCATGAGTGTGTGTGTGTGTGTGTGTGTGTGTGCATGCGTGCATGTCCCAAATCCCAAGAGAATGGGAGAGAAGGGATTGTGGTGTGGCCATCCTCCTGGGGGGGTGCTTTCTCACTTTCTCCCTCTCTCGCTCGCTCTCTTTAGCAAGCACAGACCTAAGGCAAAAACTAAGCAAACAAAATTCCACCAAGGCCCTAATGAGTCCCCACTACCTGCAGAGAGTGAGAAGAAAGAGAGGGACTAAGGGAGCTCCCCGACCTACCCCAGAGGTGATGCACAACGTAGAGCTCGCCTATCTGTGAGAAGAAACCGCCCACCGCCTCCTGGTTCTCCTGCCGGTACTTGATGGCCCGAGCCCTGGAGATGGCAGAGACGGTAGGACAGAGGTCAGAAGTGGTGCAAAGGTCCCCTGAGGTGTGCCAAGGCTGACTCCTTGGCTGTACCTTGCCAGAGGGGCCTGAGGTGACCGAGGCTCTCAGACATGCTGGGGAAGGGGTGATGAAAGCGCGGCCCTTCCTGGGTGTTCTACGGAGGGAGGCCTGACAATCCCGAGAGCCGCCCCTCACGGCTGGATCCTCCTGGATCCTTCGGGGGCAGATGGTGCTGGGTTCCTTACAATACAGCCCTGGAAAGGTGACCCCCGGGAACTCTGGACAGATAAGAGGGTCCCCCTACCCCATCCCTGTGCTGTCACTCACCAGTTGTTGCCCCACTCAATCATGGTTCCTGGCTGAAAGACACAGAGAGAGGCGGGAGTGAGCCCCGCCTTTGCTGCCACGTCTCAGCTGGCCAGGGATGGGCCAGCGTCCTGTTTCCCCAGTTCCAGGGTCTCTGGGCCTTATTCACGAGCCCTGACTCACACCTGGTGCACATAACTGCTCTGAGCCCACAGAGAAGCAGAGACTGGAAGCCTCATTCAGGTGCTAGGGCACAGGGCACGGCCCACCCACCCAGGGGCAGCCGCAAAGCACCTCTGCAGTGGGGCCCATGGCGGGGCAGGAGGGGCTGCTGGGGGCGCACCTTGAGTTTGTATGTCCTCAGCTCGTAGATGTTGGGGCCTGCTCTGGGCTGAGGCTCATTCCAGAAGCTGAACTCCAGGAGCAACTGGTTCCTCCTGGACAGCAGCATCTGGCTCCGCTCCTTCCGGAACTCCAGGTACTCCTGCAGGCATGGCATGGGTATGGGGGCTAGCAATTCACCCTCCACCTGGGAATGTGTCCCATGGGTGCTGGAGGAGTCCCTGGCACAAGGCTCGGCTGGAGCGAGCATCTAGAGGTGTGAGAGCAGGCGCGGACTTACCTTGTTGTTCTTGAGCTTGTTCATGCAGTCCATCAGGGCTGGGTAGCCACCCGAGAAGCGCCACAGGTGCACTGTCGGGGTGGGAGGTGCATGTCAGGGGGCTGCTGGGACCCTGCCCCACTTACCCCAAGGCTGGCTGGGTGCATATGGCAGTGTGTGTGTGTTTGTGTGTGTGTGGCGCAAGTGGGAGAGGGGGTTCCCTAGCCTGGCTTCCCTAGGACTCTCTGAGTCCCCTTGGCCTTGGTGGGGGGGGTGCAGGCAAACGGAGCAACACTATGGAGGGGATGACCCCAGGCATGAGCCCAAGAAATAGGGGTTTGAGCTCCAGCTTTGCCAGGAGGCCTTTGACCTCTTTAGGCCTCAATGTCATTTTGAAAATGGCATAAGGATCCAGCAGGTGGTGTGGTTAAGGCACTGGGCTTCCACATGGCCAGTCATGGTTCGAGTCCTGGAATTGGCAGCTTGCTTTCTCATTTCTCCACTCTCTCTCTTTCTCCGATAAAGTACACATGCCCTATGGCAAATTTAAAAATAGCAATAGGGGCCAGCAGGTGCAATAGTGGCTAAGGTGTTAGACTCCCAACATGGCCAACCTGGTTCAAGTTCCAGACCTGGTGGCTTGAGAAGCACACCAGGCGTGTGTGCATGTGTGTCCAAGATCTTACTTTCATGTCAGAAATGAACAAAAACATTTTTTTTTGAGGTTTTTGCTATAGGGCGCAGGCGCTCGCCAGACAGAGAGACATAGAGACAGAAAGCGAGAAATCACCCCCAGGGGGGATGGCCACGCCGCAATCCCTTCTCCTCCATTCTCCTCTAGGGATCTTGGGCATGCACGCACACGCGTCCGGCGTGAGTTTTAAGCCACTGGGTCCGGGACTCGAACCGCGGTTGACTACGTGGGAGTCCAGCGACATAGCCATTTCGCTAACTGCTGGTCCCGAACAAAAACTTTTTTAAAAAGGTGGTAGTGGGAGCGTTGGCCCTGTGGCCTGTCGCCTAAAAGAGCCAGATCTCACATAGATAATCACACAGTTGAATCTCTGCCCTGGAGGCTTAAAACACTTTAGAAAAGTTTTTTAAATTCATTTCTGTCATTAGAGACAGACAGATGAGCAGCACCCTCAACAGGGTCCTCATACCATGACCCAGGCCCCAGCGTCAGGCAGCCTGGACCATGAGCATGTGTACACACCTGGCACGCACACGGAGGTCGCAGGACCCAAACCTTCCCACATGAGTCCAGACAGGCCCCCAGGGACCCAGACTTCTTTGTTGCTTTTTGCTATAGGGCGCGTGTGCTCACCATAGAGAGAGGGAAAGTGAGAAATCATCCCCCAGGGGGGAAGGCCATGCCACAATTCATTCTCCTCTCAAATTTTGGATAGGCAGGCATCTGCTCCCAGTTTATTTTCTCCTTTTATGAAAATTGTACTAATTATCATTATTACTATTATTATTTGCTATAGGACATACACACTCACCAGAGAGAGGACGTGAGAAAGCAAGCAGCCAGGTCCGGGACCCATCAGCCATGTAGGAGTCCAGAGCCTTCACCACCACACCATCTCCTGGCCCCTACCCAGCGTGTTTTTCACTATGCTGGGTGCTTGTGTCTGGGCACCCAAAGAATCCCGACAGGATGGAGGAATGGAGACTAGATCATGCTGTGACCCTGTTGTGGAGGGGTTGCTTTCTCCCTCTCCCTTTCTCTGATAAATGAGTATGCCCTCTGGCAAAAATAAATAAATGGATGGATGGGTGGATAGACGGATAGATAAATAAAGTCGGGATCCTATTCCTCAAGGGTTGTCTCACAATAAGCAAACACTTAAGCAAATCCAGGTGTGCTGCTGAAACTGATCAAGCCATACCTAAAGTGGGGAGACTGTAGTGGCTGAAACTGAAGGCATTTGCTTTGCTCGTATCTTCTTCTCAATATCTCAATGTCTGTTACTGAAACGGAATAAATGATCAAGGAGATCTGTCTAACTAAAGGTCACAGGTGTTTTAAGACACACACAGGGCCTGCAGGTGGCATGATGGTTAAGGCACTGGACTGCCACATGGCTGATCATGGTTCAAGTCCTGGACCTGGCAGCGCTCTCTCTCTCTCTCTCTCTCTCTCTCTCTCTCTCTCGTCAGTGCACATGTCCTATGGCAAACTGGAAAATAATAATAGGGACCAGCAAATGGCATAATGGTTACATTGCTGGACTCCTACATAGTCAATCGCAGTTCAAGTTCCAGACCTGGTAGCCTAAAACTCACTCCATACATGTGTGCATGCATGCCCAAAATCCCGAGAGGAGGATGGAGGTGAAGGGACTGTAGTGTGGCCATTCCCCCGGGGTGGTAATTTCTTACTTTCTGGCTCTCTGGCCAACACACACACTCTATAGCAAAATTCTCTCAAAAATAACAATAATAAAATAAGTAATTCTTTGAAAAAATATTTAAAAGACACACATAATTATCAGGGCCATCAAACAAAGTAAGTTGGCTTATAGCAGTGAGAGCCCCATGGCAGGGAGTACTCAAGGGAAGTATAGAGGACCGCCTGCAGGACTGGGCTATGTGGACCGTCTAAACCAGAACCAGCAGGGCTTTCTGCTGCAGTGGAAATGTCCTATGTGTGTGTTGTCCAAGATGGCAGCCACGAACCACACATCTAGCACGGCACCTCAAGTGTGGCTAACATGACCAAGGAACTGTATTTTAGATGTTTATTTCATTTGAATTAACCTCGATTGATTGATTGGTTTTCTTAGAGAGATTTTTGCTATAGGACACATGTGTTCGCCAGAGAGAGAGAGAGAAAAGAAAGTGAGAAATCACCCCCAGGGGAGATGGCCACGCCACAATCCCTTCTCCTCCACTCTCCTCTCAGGATTTTGGTCATTCACGCACACGCGCCTGGTGGGAGTTTCAAACCACTGGGTCCAGGACTCGAACTGCAGTTGGCCATGTGAGAGTCCAGTGACTTAACCATTATGCCATCTGCTGGTCTCACCTCAGTTTGTTTGTTTGTTTGTTTATAGAGGATTTTGCCTGAGGTTGTACGTGCTCACTGGAGAAAGAGAGAGACGGAGACAGTGAAGAGGGAAAGGAGAAATCACTCCCAAAGGGGGTATGGCCATGATGCACTCCCTCCTCCTCCATTCTCCTCTCAGGATCTCCAGCATGCACACACACGCTCTCAGCATGAATTTCAAGCCACCAGGCCCAGGACTTGAACTGTGGTCGGACATGTGGGAGTACGCCATGTGCTGGCCCCTTAATGGCGGTTTAAATAGCTATGTGTAGTTAGTGGCCACTGTCCCGGACAGTGCAGGTCTACGTGCCAAGGCCCTGTTGAGTGGTCGAGGTGCTGAATCAACCAAACTATCGTGTGGGTCCTTTCAGCTGGGGCGAATTGGATGTGTACACTAGTGGGGGAATGAGACACACTAGGGGTGCCCTGGAGAGCCGTCAGGAACCAGCTCAGACGAGATCCCTGTTTCTATGCTGCATACTGGGGTGTCAGTGGTGAAGACAGGCATGGGACCCAGCCCTCAGCACTCACCACCTATAATGGGCAGACAAATAGAGAGCTACAGGGGTGCATGATCAGAGTGGGAAGTGGCAAGCACAGGGAAGCCAGGAGAGGTGCCTAACCCACCCTGGGTGGAGGAACTCCAGGAAGGCCTCAGGAGGTGGTGATATCTATGCCAAAATGTAAAAAAATAAAGGACAGGTGAGTTGGATAAAGCAGGCAAGGGCAAAGATGCTTCAGGTAAAGGGAAGAGTGTGAACTACAGCCTGGAACTGAGGAGTGGCTCTGACGGTCAGAACTGAGAGAAGTCCTGGGCGGCAGGGCACAGTGAGCCAGGAGGATGTGGTGAGAAGAGACTAGAGAACGGGCAGGGCATAGGACCAGCAGTTGGTGTAATGGCTTTGTCGCTGGACTCCCATGTAGATGACCGCGGTTTGAGTCCTGGACCCAATGGCTTAACCTCATGCAGGTACATGTGTGTGCGTGCCCCAGATCCCGAGAGAAGAATGGAGGAGAAGGGATTGCGGTGTGACCATCCCTCATAAATAGATAGATAGATAGAGAATGGGCAGGGTAGAAGCCGTGAGTCTCACAGGCTGCCCTAGGGCAGACGGGAGCCACATCAGGTATCTGAGCAGGAGTGTGAGCAATGAGGCTTGCACCTAGACCCCCATCACCATCGGCAGGTGGCATGGTGATTAAGGGCACTGGACTCCCACATGGCCAACCATGGTTTGAGTCCCAGACTTGGTGGCTTATTTTCTCACTTTCTTTCTCTCTCTCTTCCCCTCTCTGGTCAAATAGAAATGAATAAATAAATAAATAAAGTTAAAAAACAAACAAAAAAAGACGCCTGGGTGCCACTGTGAAGGGTGGAGGGCAGTGAGGTGTGATGGGTGCCGGAGGCGCTGGGGAGGCAGGCACCTCACCTGCCTGATCCTGCTCCCCATACCAAGTGTTCCAGTTGCCCACGAGCGAGCAGGGGTAGTCCTCATCCAGATGCAGCTTGGGCAGCACGGCCTCCCTGTGGAAGGGGCACAGAGAGGAGGTAGGGCTCCCACCAGCCCCACCAGGGCCCCTGAGATAAAGGTTCTAACTCAGGCCCCCAGCATGGGCCTCGCTCTCCCCATCTCTAGCATCTAACATGCAAAGCTAGATGAGATGTCCTTGGACTTCTGGGTCTGAAATCCACATCCCGCTATCTGCAAGGGGAGTGGGGTGACGCATGCTCGGAGGAGTTGCGGGGATGGAGGGCCTGACCCAAGCAGGGGCTGGGAAAGGCAGAGGGAGGAGGAGGCTCACGTCAGGCTGTTGTAGGCATCCAGACACTCGGGCTTCACATTGTGAACTGCAACAGAGGACAGGCAGCAGGAGGTGACGCGGGGGTGTGTGTTATGGGGGTGCTGGGGGAGGGGAAGCCCACTGGGACCAGGGCTCGAAGGCCAGCAAGGGATGTCTCAGAGCCTCCTGTCACCACACTGGAGCCTCACGGGCCCCCAGAGCCCTAAAAGGGTGAGGCTGGATGGCCCAGCAGCCACTCACACTGGATCTTGTAGAGGTTGCTGGTCTCCTTCTTGGACAGCAAGGTGGAGTGGGCGTCCTTCCGGGGGTCCACCTTGTGGACGAAGAGGGAACGGAACCAGCTGCCTTCATTGTCCTTGGAATAGAAACTGCAGGACAGAGGAGTTCAGGTCACATGCAGAGCGGGGGGAGATGTCCTGCTCCCCCAGAATGGTGACCCACATTTCTGGGAACAAGGCCGCGGAATCCCATGGCAGCTCCACAGTGAGAAATGCCATCAGGGCCAGCTGGGCAGACCTGGTCCTTTCTGCAGATTCCAGCCAAGTTGGTGCCTTAAAGCTCTGCAGGGCCTCAAGAGAGTAGGAGAGGCAGCCCTACCTCTCTCCTCTCTCTGAAACCTCCCTGCCTCCACTGCTGTTGCCGCCAAGGGAGCCCACGACTTGAGGCACACCCCTGCAGCCTCCTGCCACAAGGATCAACCCCCACCCTACTGTGCCTGATGCTCAAAGCCCCTGCAGCCCAACCTATCCTGCCAGCTTCTCCGGTCTGCCACACTTGCACACCCCTCCCTCTAGGCACACACTTCTCTCAACACACCAGGCTTTTTTTTTTCTTTAATATTTAGTTAATTTGTTTATTACTTTAGAAACAAGGAGACAGAGTGAGAGGAGGTCACCCCCAACAGGGCCTTCACACTGCAATAGGCCCTCGGCCTGCACCAGCCCAGATTACGGGCACGCACGTATGCCTAGGGTGTTCATGGACTTGGGTCCCTGGATGAAAACCTGGAACATTCCCACTGAGGGTTGGCTTGCACAGCTTCACGTTGCCCCTGTGCCACTATCCGGTCCCCAAACCAGGCTCTTTCACTCCGTGCTTCCTTTGCAAGTTCTGTTCCCCAACAAGAAGACTGTACTCGGGTCTGCAGGTGGCGTAGAGGTTACGGCACTGGATCCCACATGGACAACTCCGTGGTGAGAGTCCCTGACCTGGGCTAGAAAATCACAGCAAAGGGCCGGCAGGTGGCATTGTGGTTAAAAGCACTGGACTCTCACAGAGCTGACTGAGGTTTGAGTCCTGGACCTAGTGGCTTGCTTTCTCTCTCTCTCTCTCTCTCTGGTCAAATTTAAAATCAGTAATAAATTAAATAATTTGGGACCAGCAGGTGATGTGGTGGTTATGGCGCTGGATTCCCACATGGCCAACTGTGGTTTGAGTCTCTGATCTGGTGGCTTGTTTTCTCCCTTTCTGTCTCTCTCTGGTCAAATTAAAAAATAATAACAAATAGAATTAAATAAAAAATTCCTACCACCAGAAGGACCAGTAGATGGCGTAATGGCTATGTCGCTGGACTCCTATATGGTCAACTGTGGTTCGAATCCCAGACCCAGTGGCATAAACTCACAACAGGCACGTGCGTGGCCAACCCCCTGGGGGGGTGAGTTCTCACTTTCTGTCTCTCTGTCTCTCTCTTTCTGGCGAGCACAGGCACCCTATAGCAAAAACCTCCCCCCACCAAAAAAAAAAAAAAAAGACCACCAGATGAGTGAGGTGGTACAGGAAATATTTGGAGCAGGGTAAGGAAGCCTCAGAGCCAGGGATCTGTGATGAATCCTTGTCTCATGAGCTCACTGAATCTATGCATAGACCCTGCAGCATAGTCACTGTTACTGTCCCCACTACTCCTTGGGAGGATTAAATAGATGCTGGGTGGGGGGTTAAGGAACTTGCCAGGGTCCCACAGCAAATTAGGAGTCAGACCTGAGGCCTAAAGCAAAAACTAGGCACTAAGGGCCTTGGCCTTTCGTTCGAACATTGAGGGGCCACTTCCCCTGGCTGGGGTGGTGGCAGGGGGGAGGGCGGTTCCTATTCGCCAACCTTTGCTCCAGGATGGGCCTGGAGTCATTTATTAACACCGGTACTAACCAGGTCAACAGCGGTGGCCAGCCCTGCAGAGAGCCTGAGGGCAGCAACGCTGGCAGCGGTAAGGGAGCTCTACTCTCAAGTCCTTCCTGTCTGTAGGCCTCAGTTTCCCCACCTGTCAAATGAGCAGGGCAGAGCAAGTCATCTTTGAAGATCTTTGCTTTGGTAAAATCTAAGAAGGAAGCTGGCCAAGATCCCAGGGCAGAGTATGAACTCCAGTGCCCCCCCCAACGCACATTTTCAGGAGTTCACATTTTACAGTCTCAGTGAATCACAATGTTCCTATCCGAGACCCCCAATGCTCTCCTGATGCTCTCCCCTTGCCATTGGGATCTGCAAGGTCTTCTTTTTTCTTTTTCTTTTTTTTTTTTGGAGAGGTTTTTGCTATAGGGCGCGTGCGCTCGCCAGCCAGACAGAGACAGACAGAGAGACAGAAAGCGAGAAATCACCCCCCAGGGGGGATGGCCACACCGCAATCCCTTCTCCTCCATTCTCCTCTTGGGATCTTGGGCACGCACGCACACGCGCCCAGTGTGAGTTTAAGTCACCGGGTCCGGGACTTGAACCACGGTCGACTACATGGGAGTCCAGCGACATAGCCATTATG